AACGACGAGCTAAGTCGATATATCTTCGACGTTATAATATGTTGATATAAGGGCTTGAAACATATTTCCTACGCCACTGCGCATCGCGACACAGTTTGCTTCCCATAATCTTTTTATACCCTGAACCCATTGAAAACAGGAACCCATTGAGAACAGGGGTATAATGGTTTTGTTGAATTGTATGGAACATGTAGAAGGAGACAGATCCCACAAAGTATATATATTCTTGATCAGGGCGAGCTAAGCCGATTTAGCCCTGTCCGTCTGTGAGTATATTTGAACTCGTCGATCTCAAAAGATATAAGAGTTAATGACTTCATTTTTATCTAATATCCGTATCGAGTGTATCGAAAAAGCATCCCGTTATTTTGTTATCGATAAAAACCTTATCGAATATCAGTTATAAACTTATATCTCCTAAATCTTTAAAGCTATATTCAACATTTTAAATATGTCCCCCACCTCTACACCTTGAATGAATATTCTCGATAAAAATATATCGTATAGCTTTTTTTTTTCTTAGATCTCGGCGTTCATATGGACGGACGGACATTGTTATATCTATTCAGCTTCTTCCAACGTTTCATTCTGCATGTTGCCTACATTTTAGCAAAAAAATTATACCCTGATTTACTATTTTCAATGTTTTCAGGGTATAATAAATAAATAGCAAACATAACTAAATTATTAATAAATATATTATCTTTTAGATTGAGACTTGTATGCAAAAGGAACCACTAAATAACGTAGATACTGAAAACAAGGATATGTTGCCAATTTCATCACTACCTGAACCCTTAATGGCTCCACCTCCACCTCCAGTAAATAGCATCAAAATTACATCTCAAAATATGAAAGCGGAACCTATATATGAAGCACTGACACATTCAAAACAAATTGAGCATACTACAGATATAAATATAACTTTACCATTATCCACACGAGGAAAAGAAACCGGTATAAAACTGATAAAATCATTGACACCTGTAGAAAATGAGCGTGAACAAAGAAGAAAGTTCAGAGTTGAAAAAAAATTACAAGAAATGCATCAAAATGATATTCAAAATGAGGTTTACAACAATGACTCACGTTATAATATTTTGAATTTTGCCGAACATTTTTTTAATGCTCATGAGCGTTTTGTAGATGGAACTTTAATTTCAACAATAACTAGAAAAGGCAAGAAGGCTATGGATGTAGTACCAAAACATGAAATGATAACTTTTACTAGAGCTGAAAAAATTGCAACATCACATATACACATGTATGATCCTGAAAACATTTCTCTATCTTGTAATATATTTCGAGTAAGTACATTCACTAATAAAGGTATTGTATTCGGTGAGGGTCGCGTTATCAAATTGCTCGCCTATGGTCTCAAAACAGTAACATCGATATACAAAATTCCCTGAAAATTCAATGCTGCTCAACACAAATTATAAATTAGGTTTCGCCCATATGCTTACGTCCATAAGCCATGAGCAGTTTTTTTTTTTAAATCTTTTAATTTTTAGAAGCTATAACAATATATTTAGTCTATATATTTTTATATAAATTTTACAAATATTAATAAATGAACTACTAAAACAGCTCGACTACGGGATCCCCTCAACCCTTATTGCCTGTACGTACGCCTGCCTCTTACTTCCGCATTTATTGTGTTCGTCATTTCAATGCGAAGACTTCCTTTTCCAGCCGTCAGCATTCACCAACATTCTACTAAAAGACATCTACAGTTGTTTCCAGAAGGTAACTTTACTGTCCTTTGAGTCCCTCTCAGGTTTTTGCTTACTGGAATTTCTATTTCGGTTTCCATCTATGTATAGGTTTACTAGAACACGATTGGGGTGCATTATCCGATCTACAATTTGCTCGGATCCAAGGGTTACGTCCACTAACGATAGCCATAATTTTAAGACTTCTAGAGCTAGACCAGGGCATTCCCCAATACTGCTTGTGCATTCAGATCATCTGACACAATAAATGGCTGCCGTCGATACTTGATTGTGCACGTAAACGTACGCAGCTTCCTTTATTGCTTTCTAGTAGCAGCTGTTCCCTGCTACTGGGTATCTCTATGACAGTGTGAATTCTGAATATTTTGCACCAGTACAAATGCAGCATTTTGGAGGTTTTTTTCTGTCATGTTGTAGCCTGCTTATTTGCTCGAGGCTGTTCGGGCCAGGGACTTTTATGCATAAGTTCTGTACTGTCGCTGTAGGCTTTAACTCGGTTACCGCAACGCTTTTCTTAACGGTAGCCTTTCAATCCGGTCGTAACTTCTCCTCTTTGCTCAGCTCTACATTGAGTGCCCCGGATCGGGTTTTTCTTATACAGCTACGAAAAATAAAATATCCAGAGTTTGAGGAGTTCTCCTGGACACATTTATCAATGTATTGATATAATTTTTT